GCTGCCTGTGATCTTGACGATAAAAGCGTCCCCGGCGCAACAGACTAATCAACCTCCATGGAGTCTGGTAGAAGGACAATACAACGGCGATGGTGGTGGTGGTGGTGGCGGCGGCTCCTACCCAAAGGCCTGGTGGATTGCTTTCAGATGACCAAAGATGACAATGAACCCACTCCATCTATAAGGGACAAACAGTTCCTGCAGCTGCCAGAGAAGAGACACGATCCTGCTTTGCACAAAAGAAGAACTTGAAGACTGTGTTGAACTGTAATAAGTATTCAGCATGTGTGATATGTGTATAAGATCATGCCAATCTAAGTGACAGGTGTCAAAGTGACTGTCAGTCCAGGTAACCAGACCAAACCGGTTCTGGCTGGTGTAATGCTGATCTGTTATCAGAGTGACTCAGCAGCAACCTGATTGGATGTTCTATGTATAAAGGTGTGTGTAGTATGTACACTGTGTGCTTGTTCTAATATTGATTGCTTGGCGAAGCACTTTGTCCGTGTGAGCTGTGTACTTGTAGATAAATTCACTGTAAATAGTTGACCACTAAGAACTGTGTCAGTGTGGTTCACTACAGTGGGACTTCAGCAAGGTGCAAGTGTGATCTTTGTCTGAGAGCTGAACTAGACACGCGAGTTGCGCACCACGCGACAGACTGAAGCTCAAGTTTTGTGTGCCTTAGTTTGCTTAGATGTTTAGTTAGCATTTTAGCATGCCAGTTATGCCTAGTATAGTTATAGTGTTCCATTAGTACTGTATATAAGCAGTGGAATCCATTGGATTCCAGACGGGGAGTGTGCTGCCCCAGCAGAGATTAGAATAGCAAAGCATACCAAGTTGTACTGTAGTTTTAAGTATATAAAAGATTGTGGGAAATGTAGTTTCAATAACCTTAAGGTCAGCTGGTTAGGAGTAGCCTTACTGACTGGTTCTATACAGCCTTTTTCCTTTGATACGTTTGCCCAGGAAAAATTGTTTATTATCCTCCTCCCCCCAGTATGTTTGTAATCTCAGAGCTAACAAGACGGGAGAAACTCAGGTCCTTTTACCACGTGAATCACTCAATGACTCAGGACAGCTATTGAAAAAGGGAATGTAAGTAAACTGAACCTTTGGATGCTGAAGAGTTGAATAAAGTTGATGTTAAATGAGTGTGCTTTAAATACTTAGCTGCTCTTAGGGCCAGTTAATGCTGCCAGGAACTGCATACCAAGACTGAAAAATAAGTGAGGTGGGGAGAGAGAAATTAGAAGCAGGGATAGAAGAATGGCAGATCATGAAAGGAAGAGAGCAAAACAAAGGAGGAGAAAAGTGTGGAAAAGGGTTAGAGAAATTAAGGAAAAGGCAACAAATGGTCTTTCTGTTTTGCTACCACACACTAGTAGGACTGCCTCTTTGCAAGATCTGGTTGTGCAGACAAAACTATGGAGCTAGGTGGAACGAAAGGAAGAGGGAAACCAGACTGCTGAAGACAATGGCCTTATTAGGAGGCTGCATCCTGGTAAGGACTGTAGTTTGTCCTGGCTGGTCTTGCCTTGCTGCAGTGCTGGCTTGGCTGATGGGTTTATTAGGATCTGAGAAGCAAGGCTTTCCCTCAGCCTGCTATTAAACACGGCAGAAAGGTCTGTCCAGCACAGTCAGAACAACTGTTTACTGTGCTCTGCCTTTCTGGTGCCCCTAGTGGCTACAGTGCTGAACTGCATTAGTAATTTTTTAAAAAGTATATGGATTGTGTAACTGCCCCAGGAAGTTGGCTGGGGGTGGGGGGTGTCCAGCTGACTTGGGCCCTGGGAATTTTGTCCCTCTCCCATCAGTGGCCCTATTGCGGAGGACCACTTTGGGTTCCAAGTAGCAGATTTGGATTGTTCAGAACTCCATGATCTCAAGGTCCTCAGTATGTTGAAAGTATGAATACGGTTGCCAGGCTTTAGGTGGCACCTAGAGATCTCCTGCTATTACAACTGATTTCCAAACAACCAATATCAGTTCTCCTGGAGACAATGGCTGCTTTGGAGGGTGGACTCTATGGAATTATACCCTGTGGAGGTCCCTCCCCTCCCCAAACCCTGCCCTACGAGGGTTCCACCCCCATAATCTCCAGGTATTTCCCAACCCGGAGCTGGCAACCCTAAGGATGAATGTTTGAACACAAATTTAGAGTCCAGCGGCACCTTTAAGACTAACAAAGCTTTATTCAAGGTATGAATTTTTGTGTGCATGCACACTTTTTCGAATACTGCCCAATGGGAGGTAAGGTTCAAAATTATAGACGGGCTGAACAGCAAATTAACAGGTAACATGATGAAGATGTTTTAAGATATGTGAAAACAGAACTATGTAACAAGCTAAGGTTATAAGGTCAACAGTTGTAAAGCAATAAATATGTCAAAGTAAGTCTGAGACTCTCTATTTACTCCTCAGGTGTGGAGGTCACTTAACAGCATTTTTACTTTCTTTTTCAAGGTGGGAGCAGTGTGTGTCAGCCAAACATTCTGATATTCCTTGTATTACATTCAGTATTCTAATATACTATTTTGAAAAAGAAATACACTAAAATACAGAGGATGTATAGTCCCTCTGTATGAGAATACATATGTGAGGACTAAATGAATTAGCATATGTAATGAGATAAGAAACCAATATCCCTGTTGAGTCCTGGGGAGGTTTTTGTTCCAAGTGTTATAATAACTTGTAATTCAGCAATTTCCCTTTCCATTCTGTTCCTGAAGTTCTTTTGTAATAAAACAACCACCTTGAGGTCACCCATTGAATGTCCTGAAAGGCTGAAGTGTTCTTCTACAGGTTTCTCAGTCTTGTGATTCCTGATGTCAGATTTGTGTCCATTTATCCTCGGGCTTAGGATTTGTCCTGTTTCCTATGTAGAGAACCGAAGGGCATTGTTGGCATTTAATGGCATATACGGTGTTAGAAGATGAGCAAGTGAATGAGCCTCTGATGGTGTCGTTGATGCTGTTAGGTCCAGTGATTGTGTTGTCTGAGTGTATGTGGCAGCAAAGTTGACATCTGGGTTTATTACAAGCTCTGGTCTCAGTGTCCATGTTCAAATTAGATGTTGCATTATTGTTATTGTGAGGAGTTGTTTGAGATTGTGGGGCTGTCTGCGCAAGAAAACGTTTGCCCCCCAGTACCTGTGAAATAGAACTGTCATTATCCAGTAAAGGTTGTAAATCGTTGATGATGCATTGAACTGTTTTGAGCTGAGAGCTGTATGTGACCACTAGTGGTGTTCTATTATTGTCTCTTTGGGGCCTGTCTTCTAACAGGTTTTCTCTGGGTATCATTCTGGCTTTGTTAATCTGTTTCCTGACATCATCAGCTGGATACTCTAGTTCCGAAAAGGTGTGTTGTAGATCCCTCAGGTGAGAATCTCTGTCCATAGGCTTGGAGCAGATGTGGCTGTAGTGTAAGCCTGGCTGTATACAATGGATTGTTTGGTATGTTTAGGATGGTAGCTGGAGGCATGTAGGTATGTTTGCCGGTCAGTAGGTTACCGGTATAAGGTGGTGTCTGTGTGTCCATTGTGTACGTTTACAGTAGTAAAAGTACACAGTAGTGTCCAGAAAATGTATTTCTTGTATGGATTGGTTCATTGTCAGGTAGATGGTGGGGTGAAAATCATTGAATGCCTGGTGGAATGTGTCCAGGGCTTCTTTACCATGTGTCCAGACAATAAAAAAGTCATCAATGTAACACAAGTATAAGAGAGGTATGAGTGTGTGGGAGTTTAGGAAGTGTTGTTCCAAGTCAACCATAAAGATGTTAGCATACTGTGGGTCCATGTGGGTGCCAGTGACTGTACCATTGATCTGTTGATTATGCACATGGAAGCTCCTACCTTGAATAAACCTTTGTTGGTCTTAAATGTGCCGCTGGACTCCAGATTGGTTCTACTGCTTCAGACCAACACAGCTGACCACCTGGATCGATCTTGTTGGACACAATAAAGCCTTTCCCACAGAATCCTATCAAACAGAATCCAGAGGAGAAGACATGTCTGTCTGGTGAAGCCAGAGTAATAGCACATCATAGCATCTTAAACACTACCACATTTATATCATACTCCATATGTACTAGATGAAGTGGGCTCTTACAAAAGCTTATGTTACAATACATTTGGTAGTCTTTAAGATGCCACAATTTTTTAATTATTATTTTTTTTAAAAAAATGTATTGAATGACAAAACATATACAGATATTGATTTAGAAATTTAAAATTATTTTAAAAATGACTCTGACTATAGTGTCTCTCAGGTCCTCTGGGATGCAATGAAGGCATTGGTCAGAGGGAAGTACATTGCAATTGCTTCAATCTTCTGTGGAGACCTCCCCTCTAGTGCCCACTGTCTTTGCGAGGCTGCCGGTGAGCTGTTGAAAGGGGGGGGGGGTGTCACTTATTCTTCAGCCCATTCATAATTAGCTTAGTGGATGCGGTTTAAGATGCCACAGATCTCTTCATTATGTTGAACACAATGACCAAGAGCCATTTTGTTAAGAAATTAAACAGTTTAAAATACGGAGTTATGACTTTAATTCTATAAGTTTTTAAAACTTAAGTGTATTCTTATGGTGCAACTGGATCAGCTAATTTGGACAGGCCCTCCTGGAAGCAATGTGTAGCTTCACTCTGGTCATCAGTAGGTGCTCCCAAAGCATAACTGGAGCATATCACATATACATCACATGTTAAGCTTAACCATGTATGGGTGAAGAGTGACAGTCTTTGTTCCATTCATCGCAATCAGGGGTCATTGGGGGGGGACGCGGGGGGACGCCATCCCCCTGGGTGAGGTGCGGGAGGGTGGGGCCTGGAGCTCCCTGCTGGTGCCCGCTGGAGGTTGCCACCGGCTGTGGGGAGGACACACTTCCGGTGATGTCAGGGGGTGTGGCATATGCTAATGAGTTATGCTAATGAGCCCCCCTAGCTCTTTTTCTACGAAATGACCCCTGATCGCAATGATTTTGTTCCATTTCAGGTTCAGATATACGAGGTTGAGGAACACAAAATTGAAACGTGGAGAGGTGAGGAGGGGACCGCTGGGGGACTGGTGTATACAGGGATGCAATTCCGCACTATTAAAACTGATAAGAATTCTGCCATTTACACCAGTGGAAAGATGCTTTGCATTCTCTTTGTGTGTGTTTATAGCTGTTTGCATGTGCTGAAAACCATGCCCCCCTTAGCTGGATAGATGAACCTTGATGTGCTTGACTTCTCCCTTGGAAAAAGGATTTTGAGGTTCTGGCTCTTACTGCTCATCCATGTGTCCTTAGTTCTTGCTGAAGATGGCCCAGGTCTGGCTTGTGCTGTTATAACTACACTGTTCCTGGAGGCACATGTACAGAGGTAGCTTATGCACCATTAACCAAAGAATTCAGAAAGATACACCTCTTTGCTTAGCTGAAGTCATTTGGCAGATGCAGCTTGTCAGGTCATAGTGCTACAGGAATGAAACTAACAGCTGTTGTTGATTTAGCTTCATTAACACAATTGTGGAAGAGTCAGCCATTCTGCTGCTGTTCTTGCAGTCCAGTTGGCAGTGTCAGAGATACTTCATGCAGGACTGTTTCCATGCTGTGGCAGAGGTGTGGTTTCATGGATAGTGTGTTGGACTAGGGTCTGGATAGAAATCCCCGCTCTGCCACAACACTCACTGAATGATTTTGAGCCAGTCATTCTCTGTCAGCCTTCAGAGCGGGCTGAGAGGATAAAATGAGGAAGGCAAAACCGTGTACGCCTCCCTGAGCACCTTTGGAGGAAGGACAGGATATAAATGCCCTAGATCAGCAATGAAGACTACAGCCAAACACGTGATCTATCAGTGTGAGCATTGCCTACTCTGACTGGCAGCCTCTCCAGGCAGAGATGTTGCAAAATTTGCCATGGATATGTGGACAGTCGAATTTATAGTGCTGGAAGGTGTCAGTGAGATGTCAGCCAGTCAACCAGCCTGCTTGGTTTATGCTGAACAGGCTTACATTGGATGTTTGCAAAACTGTGCATGTGCAAAGTCTCTGCCAATGCAAACCAATCAGTAGCCATTAGTGTCACTAGAGATTATTTTGACAAACACTAGAAGGTTAGGATTTTGTTAAAAATAGAACATTTATTTATATCTGATTTATACGATTTGTGACTGATTTGTTTACGTATTTAAACAACTGCCTGCTGAGCAGAGCAGGTGCCTGGCGAGAACAAGGTTTAGTAGAACTCAGCCAGGCTGTGTGAGAAGACACGTGTGCTGTGCTGTGCGATTAAGCAGAAATACAGTGGAGCCATCTGCCAGTCATAAACTGGTTGACAAATATTTGAACTGATCACAGAAACGTCAGCTCCCTGTGATAGGCAAGACCAAAGCCATTTTTAGGCAAGCTAAATTTAGTTAAGTAGCAAAACAGCATGTGGTGAAGTGGGTAAGATGTTTCAGAACATTTATTTATTTATTTATTTCGATTTCCTATCCCGCTCACCCCCCCCAGGGGTTCTGAGCGGCTTACAATTCTAATTAATTAACACAGTCCTAATCTTGGGCCACATGTAGTAGGGAAGTGAGAAGCCTTACCAGGCACCCTGGTAAACATAGCTGATTAAGCAAAGGTGGTCTTTAGAAAATAAGATAAGTTATTTTGTAAAGCTCAGGAGACATATGAGCCTTCCAAATAAGGTCAAAAAAAGAAAGGCATACTTGGCAAATATACTTGTATAGATATAGAGGAACTGAGGAAGTCTAAGTTGCGTAATCCATTAACATCTACAGATGTCTAAAAGTTGTTTGTCACACTGTATAAAAGGTTAATGCTAATACTTTACTAATGGAGTCCTTGGGTTTTGCTGTCTGTACGGCAATAAAGTTTTGTTTGCCCCTGAAATCTTACTGGCTGTGTGCAGCTTGGGTGTTGGCACACCAGGCAACAGGCCCATTTGGCTAACACCTGTTCACGACCTTTGAACATGATGTGGAGTGGCTGGTGTTTACTAGCCTCAGGCAAAGATCTTTTAAAATCACCTTCTACCTGATCCTTTTAACTGGTGAGGCTAGGGACTGAACCTGGGACCTTGTGCATGCAAAGCAGATGCTCTCCCCCACATACCACCCCTTTATGTTGTATATTTCCTCATTCAGCCCACTGGACATTCCAAACCTAGCATAAGGGGGAAACAAGGCACTTGTGGAACAGCCAGCACCTTCAGGTGGCTGTCATTTAGAGAAAGCAGGATGCATTTTGAATGTTGGAGGAACTCAGCCCAGGTTTTCCCCAACCCTTCCAAAGATGGACGTCACATTACTAATTTTATTTCCTCTCTCTCCAGAGGTGTATCTTCAAGGATCCTTCAAACCCTTGGTCTGCATCTCACCAAATGATAGGTAAGTCATTCTTGCTGCTCACTCCTTCTGCAGACAGAGGTGGTGATGGAAAGGCATCACCAATACCCCTTTTGCTTTTGGCTTGTCCAGTCTTTTTCAAACAATTTTTGTGTGTCATCCATTGCTAAATCCATGCTGTCAGCTGGTTGTCAGAGCTGGGATATCCTCAGTGGGATATTTGCCTTGAGGGGGAGAAGCCTGTAGAAGAGGAGGAGACCATAGCAGTGGGAATAGAACACTGGATCATAAATAAAGGCTCTTGTGTGGTTTTTATATTTGCATTGTGATAGGTGCAAAAGATGTCTCACTCAGATTTTATTCTGATTCTACCTGAAACGATCTATTTGCATTGAGAATTGGTTTTAGATCGCTATATTATATAATGCTGGGACCTATTCAGCAGTTTCTAGGTGAGGAGGATGTTTTTCATGCACATTCCTTCCGCTCTTATCAACACCCCATGCAGCTAGAAAGACATTGGGGAATTTCAGACAGCCGATATATCCCGGTTCAGGAACTGTTCCCTAACGGTTTCTGGTCTGACATTTCAGACAGAACCGTTTTAGTAACGGTTTCCTACCGGAATATATTTTCACTTTCAGACAGAAATGCTTCTGTCCCATTCAGGAAATGTGGCTGAACCATTTTACCTGCAAACTGCTTCCAAGCGGTCTCCATTTTTCTATACCATTTCTGAAGTGCTACGGGGGGCTGTGTAAAATGCCTTGTAGCGCTTCCTCCTGCGTCGCTTTGTTTTCCTGCCCTTTTTCACCCGCGTGGGCGATCTCCATCCTTTTTTTAAACGTTCATTTTAGAGTGCTATGGCGCTATAGCGCTATAACACAACACCAAAACAGCAACCTCATTGGAATGCCTGGACTCCTCTGGGATACATGAGATGGCTACATCTGCCACCTGGAAACAAATACCTCATTGGACTGCAGGCTTTGGCAGGAAATCAGGGCATCAGTGATTGGTGTGACAGATGTTGCTAATCCACAAAAACATGGCAATCTTAGCTGTCTCTCAATAGTGCCTCTCCACCCCATTTTAGTCTATCTGTGATACGTAATGCCAAAGGTTGTAATAGATAATAGGCTGGGTTATTTGATTGGTTGGCTGCAGGCATATAAGCCAAGCATATTATGTGGCTCTGTTTCTCCCTTCTCTAGCCTCTTTGATGCTGTCTATTCTTTGATAAAGAACAAGATCCATCGGCTGCCTGTTATTGAGCCCTTCTCGGGGAATGTCCTCTACATCCTGACACACAAACGTATCCTCAAATTTCTGCATATTTTTGTGAGTGTTAGGTGAACAGGAACCTTCAGTGGGGTATATGTGTGGGCTGGCAACATCTGATCCTTCCATCTTGTATGGTACCACAGACATAGTAAAAAATGTACAGCTCTCTGTCCCCAAAGTGCTTATATTCTAAAGGGAGGAAGGACAACAGAAGGAGGGGAGGGAAGGATGTTGTAGGCCAATAGTTACATGTTTTTAAAACTTCATCAGAATTGAGAACTGTTTATTCTAGTGTGTAAGAGGCAGAGGGGGGCTTGGACTTTCACAGAGAATACCACAGTGTGTTCCATAGTGGCCTTTCTTCCCCACAAGTTCCTCTTCTGTCTCCTTGAATGGAGATCTGATCTGAGCTCATGGGTTGGAGAGGGGAGTGTTGCCTACTCCTAGAGCAAACTACTCTTTTCTCACTCTAGGGAGCCTTAATTCCGAAACCAAGGTTCCTGCAGAAGACCATCCAGGAGCTGGGCATCGGCACCTTCCGTGATGTGGCCATGGTGCTGGAGTCGGCTCCTGTCTACACTGCCCTGGAGATCTTTGTAGACCGCAGGGTCTCAGCATTGCCTGTCATTAATGAAGCAGGTACTGTGTCTCTGCTGCTCATCCTCTCATTGTAGCATGAATGGAGTCTTGCTTCCATCCCATAAAAGGATCTTATTAAAAGGCTCTACTTCCTTCAGAACCATCCTAAGTCTAGATGGTTGGTGGTTATTTTTTTTTAAATCATTTTATTTTTTATAAAGACAGACATCACACAAACACACACAAAAACATAAATGGGGAGTGCCATTACATCTTCAAATTACATCTTTAAGCACTTCATACTGTATTTGTTTTACATGTTCCACCTTATGTTCTTATAAAAATCTTCTGCATATTTTAAGATAGTTTTTGTATTCCATAAAAGGTTGTATGTCTGTATATTTTATCTATTGTGTTCTTCAATCCATTTCAAAATCTTGACCATGCAATTTCATTTTTATAAACAAAACATCACACAAACCCACACAGATGTATAAATGGGGGGAGGTTTCATCATCTCATCAAATTACGTACATGTTTGGACACCTCATACCATATTTGTTTTCCATGTTTCACCTCATATTCCTACAGTAATCTTTCACATATGTTTAAAAAGTAAGGTTTTTATACTGTTTTAATATATTTTCAAAAATTTCAATTCATTTGTAGAATCTTGAACAACTATATAATGATAATAATGTTCAGTCATTTATAGAATCTTGAGGGACTGTACATTCTCCCTTATCCAAGAAATTTTGGGGCTTTTTCGTAGGCTTTTATCCTTTTCTTCATTCTCTGATTTCTCCTCTTACATCTTAAAGTCTTAATTCTGTGCCTTTTCCCCTTGTAGGTGAGATAGGTATCTTCTGGAGATAGCCATCTGTAGTCAATTCTTAAAATAGTTTGAGGTTCCATATATTCTTTTCTTTTCTCTCTTTGAAGAGGTATTTCATTTGCTGCTTCAATAATTTTATCTCTTGTCATTTTTTCATAGGGTCTCATATTGAGGTCTTCAGTCAGTTTGTCTCTTTTTGGGAATATTCTGTAGACCATATCAATTGGATTGCAGACTTCATTTGTATCTTTTGTGTGAATATATTTCAGAAAAGTAAATGTCATCAGTTTGCTCTTCCATCTGATTGATCTGTTGTGTGAGCAGGTCAAACTTAGGTTGCATAGCATTCATAGCTTTTTCCACAGCTATTTTAACTGCTACTGTGATTGTTTCCTGAATTAATAGTTGGAGATCTGTAATCAACAATGCTTCTTTATCTGCACCAGCCATTTTTAAGGTATCGTGTTAAAAATAGAGAATCTCTCCAACTCTTTGTCAATACAGCCTCTACAGTCACACAGCTGTCTATACTTACACAACAGGTTTTATTATGGTTACATTTAAAAAAGAAAAGAAAAACGAGATAAAAGCAGAGAGTCTCTCAAATTACCTTTCAATAAAACCTTACAGTCACCCCACTTCTATGTTTGCAAAACAATAACTGTTATAGTCATATTAAAGAGTGAGACAATTTCAACCAAAGCCATCAATTGTTGACAGTAGAGATAAGACAAAGTGTACTTTTTATAATTTCAACAAATAAAAGTAATTTTTCTTGTGAGAATATAACACATAAAAATTCAGAATGAGTTCCTAATAGTTCTTATTGGTTCCTCTTCTTTTTACTTGTAGTCCTTATTAAACTATAGTTAATTGTAATCCTTTGAGGTGTCTTCATATAGTTCATATAGTTCCAAATAATTTATTTGTAATTCCAAGAGGAGGATATACTCTCATCATCATCATCAAGTTTATTGTATTAGCCATTGGCCATAACAAAACAAAAATACATACACACCCATGTACATAGGAGGATATACTCTTGCTTCTTGAAACTCAAAGCCAAATAAGATGAATATTTCCCAAATTTTATAATCCACTACATAGTATTGAAGGATCAATAGTTTTGTTTAACAGTTTTATTCTCAGACCACAATCTTCTTTTCTTTTGCCCAAGCCATTTAAAGGAAGCTTTCTCTCTCTTTTCCTAGCCGCTTAAAGAAGTAGGGGGGGAGGGAAAGGGATTCTTCACCCCTCCAATCCTTTGTTTTTTCAATAGTTTTTAGGGGGGCTCAATTGATGGGAAGTCTCTGATGTTGTTGCTTATACATTTACTCACGGTGCTGATGTTTTAAAGCAGTTCAATTGAGGTTTTCCGCTTCTCCCCCATCACCTGGGTAGTCACAGCTTTGCGCTCATGGCTGCCATGGGTGCTCTTGGACAGTTCTTGCTTCGGGACGATCCAGGACACTCACCCGCGAGTGGCCGCGAGATCCAGATCAAGTCCCTTTGCACTGAGCTCCTCTTCGGGGAGCTCAGTGGAGTCCGGGAGCCCCCCAAACTCCTCTAAAAGAACTGGCGATCCAGCGGCTACACGGGAGAGCCTCCCGGTGCCGACCCTTCTTGCCGCGCCACATCCGGGTTGGTGGTTATTAAATGGAGCCATCAGCTGAGGCAGCTTGTGCTAAGCTGTACCATTTCAGAGTCTAGGAAATGGCAGCCTGTTTGAATGTTATTTCTTCTATTCCCTCCCCTTCCTCATGAATGTAAACTCCCAACACGATCAAAAGTAGTATGTTACAGAAAAGGCTAGACTAGAACTACTTTTCCTGACAAACATTGCTTCTACACAGAGGTTTTGTACAGACACAGCGTCTAAACTGGAGCAATTTCTTTTTTGCACTTCCACATGACGTCATCAACCCCCAGGGTTTTCTCCTGCTTTCTAAAGTCTTTCCCAAACCTGGTGTTAAGCCATGGTCAAGTCGTTATCCTTACATCTCTTCTTTCATAGTCTGGACACATCCCTCCTTGTGACCTTTGCTCCTCCAGCTACACTACCCTCCTCCTCCTGTAGGTCTCCTGCTTCATCAAATCATCCCATCCTTTCTCCTCTGTTGCCCTTTGTACCTGGAACTGCCCCCCTCCACTGCCTGGTACCACCTTTCTCACTTCCTTCAACTCCCTTTCCCATGTGCAGCCTTTGGCAAGGTCCTTAGTCTCCTTACCCTGTTTAAGCCTAGGAATGCATCACTGGAATGAGCACATCTTCCTCAGTTTATCCCTGCCACCAGGGGTCATTTCGTGCAGGAGCTCATTAGCATATCTCATTAGCGTAACTTATTTGCATAGGCCATACCCCCTGATATCACCAGAAGTGTGTCAGAAGGCAACACCCACCGCTCAGGCTCCACTGGACTGTTTTGGATTGCTAGCTATTGGGGGGGGGTGCGCAGATCTGCCCTCGCAGAGGAGGGAGAGCTTGTGCCTGAATAAAACTTGGTCTTAAAGGTGCCACTGGACTGTTTTGGATTGCTAGCTCTGGGGGGTGGGGGACGCGCAGATCTGCCCTCACAGAGGAGGGAGAGCTTGTACCTGATGGCGGGCAACTTACCTGGCTGTTTCTTGCTCCTCGTGGCCCGACTGAGGGCTGCTGGGAGCAGGGGGCGGGGCTTGTTGCATGTGCCCACCCCCTGGGCTCTTTACTGCCGGAGCTCCACTCCTGTGCACTCCCGCAGGAAATGACCCCTGCCTGCCACCATTCTGCTCCCCTCCCCCTTTGTTGTTTCCCTTGTCTTAAATTTTAGATTGAAAACTCCTTGTGTCAGGTTCCTGTTTTCTTGTTCTATGCCACATTGATGGTGGTGTATAATGATGGTGGTATGTAATGATGTAGTAACAAGTCTGTAATACAGGGGTTCCCAATGTAGCCCCCATGGGCACCTTAGTGCTCACTGATACTTTTCCTGCAGCGCACCAAACAGGCCTGTAGCTACAGGGAGGCATTTGGGGGCCTGCCCCCCCGACTTCCTGCCAAGGCCCCCTGACTTCCATCCAGCCCCCCTGGCTCTCTGGGCCATCCAGAGGACTCCCAACTCTCTGGGCCACCCGGAGGACTCCCCACCACCGCCCCTTCCCCAAGCGTGGCTTGCTTCCCCATGTAGGCAGGCAGAGTGCAAACGCCACAAAAGTGAGTTTTTAAAGTTTTTATTTTTATTTTATATTTTGTGACATCAGTGCCCCCTGACTTATTTAGAGGCCCCCCTGAATTAAGGAATCCTGGCTAGGGGCCTGGCACCAAATGTTCGTAGAAAGTGGGTCATGCCAGATGGGGCTCTGGCTATTTTACGGCAGCCATTTTTGGGTTGCACTGTCTCAGAATCCCAGAGGTGTCCATAAATGCAGGAAGGCTGGGGACCGCTGCTCTAATAATGGGCAGAGGACCATTGCAGAATTGTGGGTTGATGGAAAGGGCTACCACTGCTTGGATTTCTTTGTAATGCTGTCTTCCCCTCTTTCTTTTTACAGGGAGCGTAGTTGGCCTGTACTCCCGCTTTGACGTGATTGTAAGTTTGGCACAACCCAATTCTACAAGAACAATTAGTTTCCCAGATAATTAAGAAGGGCAATAATGGGAAGGGATTGTGTGGAGGATGGAAACACTCAATTAAGTTCTGGGAGAGCTTTTTGATGAACCAAAGCTAAGAACATGGGATATTTTGCTGCACTGCCTCTAGCGGTGTTGGATCTTTTTATAGCAGGGGAGGTCAACTGTGTGTATGCGTATGTGTGTGCATGCATGTGGTATGTAGTCATCACTGAAAGTTTCCGAAGCTCTGAAGAGTCTGGAGACATTATTAACTGTCGTCGTTTTCCAGTCACCTCTTGAGAGGAAGCTCATTAGTTGTTTCTTAGTCAAGTAATGTACCATTGAAAAGAAAGGAGAATGTCGCCATGATTTTGGAAGTGGACTGTTGCAAACAGATTCCAGATTACAAGGGACTCCTGCATGGAACGTGGTAGGACATCTGAATCATTGCCTTCAGTTAGAGCCACCTGTATATCAAGGCTATTTGAATCAGGATAGGTATATTCTCTGGTGATTCCAAGCCCTCTGCCCGGATGATCTCTGATGACTGCCTCAAACTCCTCCCTCATTTACCACTTATTTTCCACAGCACTTGGCTGCCCAGAAGTCCTACAACAACCTAGACATTAGTGTGGGAGAAGCCCTGAAGCAGCGCTCACTCTGCCTTGAGGGGGTACTCACATGCCACCCTCATGAGACAATGGAAGATATCATCGATCGCATCGTCAAAGAGCAGGTAGGCTGGGGATGTGGGCACGTACGCTTGTAGGGTGGGGAGAACATGTGCAAGGCCTTAGGAATAGCTACCATGGAGCAAGAGTTGGCTCCTTTTCTGTTCCCCCAGTTCTGGCTTTAAATTGGGTGCCTTTAAAGCTCAATCTAAACCTCATCTCAGAATGAAGAAAGCTGTACATAATTTGAGCAATGAGCATGGTCATTCCTTTTTTGGACAGATGTACAAACTTCCAAACTAAGTCTAGCCCAGGAACAACAGGGTCTTGTTATTTCCCAGATGAACAAGCTGCGCCAAGTGCCAAATGAGCCTTGTGACATTGTGAAGTCACCTCCCTGTCATCTGTCTGTGCAGAGTGCTGATTAGCTAGCCACTGTTGCAGTCCCAGGGCCATTCTTCTATCCTAGTCCAGAACTCCCCACAAGTGGAGTTGCTTCAGATAATGATGTTTAAGCCAGTCTGGTGTCATGGTTAAGTGCGTGGACTCTAATCTGGGAGAAACGGGTTTGATTCCCCACTCCTCCACTTGCAGCTGCTGGATGACCTGTGCCAGGGGTCATTTCCTGCAGGAATACGCTGGAACGGTGCTGCAGCAGTAAGGAGCCGAGGGGCGGCCCTCCACACCGCCTTTCCTGGCCCACCCGTCAAGGCGGATGGGCCAGGGAAGGCCTGCAGAGTCCCCCTGCCACCTGGGGGGATTTAAATGCCTTTCCTTCCCTTCCCCAGATGGGGAAGGGAAAGGGAGGCATTCTAAACATGCCTGGGTGCCCTCTCTGCCTGCCTGCCCTTCTCTTCTCCAGCCAGCCAGTGGTTGGCTGGGGAGGGGAAGGGGAGGTGGGCAGACATGCTCCCTTTCCCCCCTGAGCCTCTCCGCTTTTGCAGAGAAACTCAGGGAAGTGGGGGGGGGGGAGATCAGGCAGGGAACCCAGGCATGCTTGTGTGCCTGCCCTTTGTCAAGGGGTGTGGCATTTGCAAATGAATTATGCAAATGAGCTCCTGCACCTCTTTTTCTACAAAATGACCCCTGGTTCTGTCAGAGCTGTTCTCTCAAGGACAGTTCTCTCAGAGCTCTCTCAGCCGCATCTACCTCACAGGGTGTCTGTTGTGGGGAGGGGAAGGGAAAGGAGTTTGTAAGCCGCTCTGAGACTCTAAGTGAAGGGCGGGGCATAAATCCAATCTTCTTCTTCTTCTTAAAGCCCAAAGCTTGCCTGAAACATTAGGGAAGGGCAAATAGAAGTCTCCTGGAGGGATGCAGGTCTGTCTTCTTTGGTTATTGCCTTGCTGTGGATGCAAGTTCTTTCTCATGTCACATCCCAATCTAGACACGCTCACAGGGTTGCAGTAGCAGCAGCCGAGCTGCCAGTCTGATCTTTCCGACATGTAATCCCCAGGAGGTCTATATGTATGACCAGTCCCATTACTCCATAAAGGGACTCAGCTGGGTGTGGAGAGTGATAGTACATCAACCAGGCATTCAAGGATCGTATGGTTCAATGAGGCCGCACGAATGGTTGCTGGTGGTCTTGATTACGTCACTCTAAAAAAGTCTATTTCTTTATTAAATTATTTGGAACAGACGGTAGACTGGCCCATGAGCAATGCTCCCTCTAAGGTGTGGAGTCTGGTGAGCAAAAATTCTACTTTGTGAGCTACTGGCATTAAAGTTGTGAGCAAATGATTGGCTACTGCATAAATCAGTTTGCTCTGAAGCCCTCCTTCCTGAGCTAAGACAAAAATGTGTGAGCTGGAGGCTAAAAAACTGTGAGCAAGCTCACACTAACTCAGCTTAGAGGGAACACTGCCCATGAGATATGATAAAGTGGTCAAGTATCTTTTGGAGACTTTGAAATCAATGTCACAGTGACAACAACCAGTAAAGAAAACCTTTCTGCAGGGCTGGTTCGATAGTGAGTGTTACGGAATGAAGAGTCAACTGCGTGCCATTTTTCATTCCTATAGGATTTCGGAATTAGTGTACCCCCCACCTGAGTATTTTGAATTGAAAAAGGCTCTACATCAACTCTATAAAAATAAACAGAAGGCTTTCTTGTAAAAATGCTGGGAACCCCTTCTACAAGCTACTACTAATAGCGATACTATATATGACCACATATGTGTTTTTTTCATGAATTGGAGGAATATGCATAGATTTGGTAATGGCATTTTTCCCGATGTCTATTTTCCATGTATTTCAAGGGGCAGGTCCCTCAGGCCAAATGGCAACCGTGTTGTGTTTTCAAAGCTGCCTCCTTGTGGAGCAGGGGAGAGAGGGTGGCAGTCACAAGTAGTCTTTTCTTGGTCAAGGAATAGGCAGGAGGAGCTTGTGGGATTAAGGAAGGGGCCTATTATAGCACTTCCTGGTCAGCAGGTTCTCCCAGTTTGTCTTGGTCACAGCTCTTTGGTGAGCCCAAGCACAGGCCTGGTTCTTTGAGAGGTTCTTCCCCCCCACCCCTGATTTATGACTCTTTAGGTTTACAACTTGGCCTGGAGCCCAAAAACTTGTCGCATACCTCAGTTGGACCATGCTGTGTCCGTTCCCCAATCTCTGATTCTTCCTCGTGGTCTAGAAAAGGTGAATGTCTTGGACCACAGACTGGTGGGGTGGTGGTACTTGTGGCAGTTTCTGGAGCATTCCGTCAGTTTCAGCAAAAGAATCACATGGGGCATTTCTGGATGGAGGAGTTTCTGTCCATGGGCCACTAAAAAGAGATTCAGGTTGAATGCCAGGGTCCTCATATAGGAGGCATATTGTTCAGGAAGAAGACCTTCAAGGTAAGCGCAGGGCTATTTTTGGGCAGGAACGCACAGGAACAGAGTTCCGGCTGGCTCCCGAGTTGGCCACGCCCAGCAGGAACTCATTAGCATAATAGGCCACACCCAAAAGCAGGACCTCATTAGGATTGGCTACGTTAGGGATGTGTGGCCTATCACGCAAAGGAGTTCCTGCTACAAAAAGAGCCCTGGACAAACAAGGTAAACAGAATAACAAGCAAAAGGTTGGTGTGGCTGGATGACCACACTTCTGGTAACATGTGGGTGCGGCCTAATATGCTAATGAGTGGTGTTGTCAGGGGTGTGGCCCAATATGCTAATGAGTTTCTGCTATTGGGTGTGGTCTATTATGCTAATGAGTTCCTACTGGGCTTTTTCTACAAAAAAAGTCCTGGGTAAGTGTAAACAGCCTGGTGTATTGATGACTATGCAGCTTTAAGAATTAGAAACTTGAGGGCTACTTCACATGTTACAGGGTGTTTTCTACTATACCAAAGCAATTGCAGGCCTATCCTGGCTATCTACAACATGTACCTTACATGTGGCCGGAAATCTCCATTTACTGCATGGATGTGGTACAACGAACAGTTGTGTGCAAAACCTTGGCTGTGCAACTGGAATAGAAAAGAAGCCACCCTGAATTGTATTCGGTGCTTTGATTTTATTTCTGCAGAACCCTGTTGTTTCTCACTGATCCTTTCCCCAGAATACACTGCCTTACCTCACTTCCACCTGGGGGGGATTGCAAAAGGAAATATTACTGATTAGCAGGGCTATTTTTGGGCAGGAACGGGCAGGAACGGAGTTCCGGCTGGCTTCCGAGTTGGCCACGCCCACTACAGCCAAAACCCCTGCGTGCCTGGCTACAGAGGGAAGGCCTGGAGAGCGACACCCCCCCAACGGTGACTCTGAGGTGGGCAGGCCGGAGGGCCCCCTGGAAGGATCAGGGAGGCATTTAAATGCCCCCCGTGCCTTCCCCGGCCTGTCCAAGGGCCGGCTTGCCCGGGCTCCCTGCAGCCGCGGGGTGCCCAGGCAAGCCAAGGGAAGGCAGTTTAAACTGCCTTCCCTTCCCTTCAAGGGGGGGCTTGCCCGGGCTCCCCGCAGCCGCAGGGCGCCCGGGAAGCCAAGGGAAGGCATGGGAGTGTGACCTAATATGCTAATGAGCTCCACGGTCAGGGGTGTGGCCTATTATGCTAATGAGTTCCTGCTGGGCTTTTTCTACAAAAATAAGCTCTGCCGATTAGTATCACTGTTCTCTGGATCTGAAATACTTGTCTCTGCCTGCCCCACCCCTCTCTTCCCCATGATGTCGTGTGGCTCACCCGTCTGGCAGGTTCATCGCCTGGTTCTAGTGGATGAGAAGAACACCCCACGGGGGATCGTGTCCCTCTCCGACATTCTCCAGGCCCTGGTGCTCACGCCTGCAGGTATCGATGCCCTAAACTCTTAAGCTGCTCGACGCTCCATCCTTCCTTCACTTGTACCCTCCATTTCCTCCGCTTCACTCCGGCTCAGGTAGGCTCCACACCTCGACCTCGCCTGCCTGTCCCCTGCTGCTGTCCTTTGCCTTGCCATGGGGTCTTTCTTGTTCAGCCAAGCCAGGTCTGTATGTGTCTGTTCCCTAGCACCAAGGCCTGGAAGGGAGGCCCCTGCCGCAGACTGAGAGTGCCTTTGTGTGGCTTGCCACAGACAAGAGGGAAAAAAGCAGTCCCAGCTTCGGTGCTGTAGGATCAGAGGCTTTCCCTCCAGTCTTGGTCTGTTTGGGGTTTCTTTCTCTCTTGTTGGTTTCTTTTCGTCCTTTCTTTTTCTTTTTGCATGAAAGGAACTGGATGGATCTAGCAAAGCAATTTGCTAATGCCAGCACATCCAAGTAACAGCAAAGATCTCTGTGTATGATGTGAATTCCTTGGGCAGAATATTACATTATTGCACATCTATTGTTGCAGACGTTGTGTACTCCCTACTGTAACACTCACAAAAGAGAGACTTCTAGTGTATGAACAAATTGGGATATGAACACACTTACTCTCTCCTGTTGATTATCACCCCCATACAGAAGACAGGGACATACTGCCTCTGAGAATGGAGATTCCATTCAGTCATCCATTGATACATCTTTCCTCCTAGAGTTCCTCTAAGGCTGTTAAAGCCACCCAAGTTAGAAGCCATCACTACAACTTATGCGTGTGAAACTGGTGTCTTGTGAAATGTTTCACTGGGAGCCAGTGTAGCACAATGGTAAGACAGTCAGACTAGGATCTGGGAGCAAAGATAAAGGTAAAGGTTTCCCTTGCTTGAAAGCCAGTTGAATCCGACTCTAGGGATGCGGTGCTCATCTCCGTTTCCAGGCCGAAGAGCCAGCACTGTCCGAAGACGTTTCCGTGGTCATGTGGCCGGCATGACTAGACGCTGAGGCACACGGAACGCTGTTACTTCCCCACCGAAGCGGTACCTATTGATCTACTTGCAATTTCTTGCTTTTGAACTGCTAGGTTGGCTGCCACAGAAGCTTGCTGGGTGACTTTGAGCCACACATTCTCAACCTTACCTTACTCACAGGATTCTTGTGAAGCTAAAATAAAGTGGAGAATAATGCGAAACACTTTGGGTCCCCAGTGGAAAGAAAAGGGGATGGGGTACAAATGAAGTAAGTAAATAACAAGTTGTGTCCTCTGCTTTAAAGACAGAGAGGCATAATTAGGTAAAATTCATATGTAATCAAGGAAAGTACACAGACCATTCACAATACAGGTAGGGCTCTTTTTGTAGCAGGAACTCCTTTGCATCTTAGGCGACACACCCCTAATGTATTGTTGTTTCTGTCCCTGTGTCCCATTTAAAACAAAGAGGGCAAACAGGTAACCCTTGCAGCAAAGCTGTCTTTCTTCCACCCTTAATGGGGAGAGACTAGCATTTCTGGTACTGGATCATGCGTGTGGCAACTTTTCCCCCACATGATCCATAAAAGGTTTTGGATTGGGTCCAACCATTTTCATTCTCTTGGCACCTTTGCTTTCCTTGCAATGGAGGAACACTCAAGTGCCACCAACACACAGTGTGAAGATTCAACTGCAGGGGACTGGCTTTACCTACCTTTCTTCCTGTTCCAGTTGTGGCCAGATCTGTCCCAGTGGTAGTGAATGGCAGCTATAAAATGGAACCAAGGAACTCTCTGACCCGGCCTTAAATTCTACCAAAGCTTACAGCAAGTGGCCATCACTCAGTGAAGGGCTGGTGTACGATCTAGGCTGAACATCAAACTGATGTAGTAGCCCTACAGCTTGTAATTTTTTTCATGCGCCCAGCCAGTTTCCCATTACCTTTTCAGAAAGACATACAATTCTGTCTGGATAATGGAAAATGCTTTAGCAATAGTGGTTGTGCACACTCATGCTTCTTGTTGCCTACCTGCTGAGGGTTCGACTTTGAAATATGCCCTGTACTTCTACCAGCTGTTGTTGGTTCCCTAGCTCACATTGTTGCCCCCCTCACAGAGCTAGCTGTGTGTATGGCTGTCCGTGTATGCTTGTATGTAGCAGTATGCCAGCTGCTGTGGATTTGCGCATGGGGCAGCTGTGGCCACTCTGCTATAATTAGGTTCCTATGACATCAACAAACACAGTCCATTTCTCCCACCACACTGTATCAGAATGGCTCAGGGCCCAACTGGGCACATGGAATGGAACAGGAAAGGACTTGGGGCTTGTGAAAAGCTGTAAGTTGGTCACTTGAACAAAAAACAGAGAGCTACTTACATGAGATCCCTCCTTCTACCCCCAATCACATTTGTATTTAGAAAGTTCCTCTGGTAGGATAAGCAACAAATTCCTGTGGCAGGACATGCAACATTTCCAAATCCCAATAAAATGTCTGATAGCCAGCCAGGTTAAAAAAGGGGGTGATGAGGTAGACTCTTTTACTTTAGTGTCTGATTGCCCTCTGACTGGCTTTGGCGCCTGCTTAGTTTATGATGCAGGGGGGCTTCAGCTTACCCTTGTGGAGCTTCTGGCATCCTTGGATGGAGGAGGCCCAAGTAGAGATCTCTATTCTATTTTAGATATACACTCGTGTTTCCTTCAAAGACATTCAGATAGGTTATACATAAAATGCCTGCTTGGGTACCATCAGTTTTTTAGAGCTAAAATGGCACCACTTGAAGTAGGGGAGCTGATAGGTAAAAGAACTGTATTCAAGTCCCACCCCTCACCCAAAGCTTTTACTGAGGGAAAGCGAAGCAGCATGAGAGGAACATGGGCCAGTTAAATTTGTAATGACTGCCTCGCACACTTGGCACAGACACGGATATGTATTTGTAGCACGTACATCACCACAGGCAATTTCTTTTAGCTAAGACGATTCAAGTACAAATCAATAAGCCTCTGACTGCCATGACGTAGTCTCTCTTGGGCTTCTGGTCATGTTACAAGGGCTAAGCGAAATGACCAAGGACTTCCCTAATCCCAAAGTGACAGTTTAATAGCGAAGTAGTGAAGCCAAACTGGCAGTTGCTTGATTAGCAGTTGTGTTTAAAAATCAAGGGACTTAGGGACTGCAGTTACCTGGTCTATGTTCACACTAGAGCTGTCCTGACAAGACAGTGGGTGAGACTGTGACTTCTGCAAGAGAAGTATGGGAGCTGTTTCCCCACCGACCTATATTTTTCAGACACCAGCAGGGGCATAAGCCAGCCCTCCAGTTTCGTGTAGTGGTTAAGTGCGCAGACTCTAATCTGGGAGAACCGGGTTTGATTCCCCTCTCCTCCACTTGCACCTGGCTGGATGACCTTGGGCAAGCCGTAGTTCTGATAAGAGCTGCCCTTGGAAAACAACGGTTTCTCTCAGAGCTCTCTCAGCCCCACCTACCTCACAGGGTGTCTGTTGTGGGGAGGGGAAGGGAAAGGAGATTGTAAGCCACTCTGAGACACCATTGGGTAGTGAAGGGCAGGGTATAAATCCAATCTCTTCTTCTTCTTCTTCTCCCTTGCTATTGTATTTACACCTTCACCATTTCCTTCTGCAGGCATTGACCGCCATTCCCTCTGAGGCAGATACGGAAGACTACTTGCTGTCTAACACTCTGGGGTACTACCACTGCAGCCATGACAAGTAGGAATAAGGGACCTCCAGCTTCTGCAATGGAAGACATGTCCTCCTACCAGGCCAGGATGGTGCCGTACACCTGCTTTGCCTTTGGCCTTCCCCCGATTCAAAAAGGGGAAGGAAATGCTGAGGAAGGATGTGGACTTCCTAACTATAAACAGTGTTCAGGTCCTTAATCTTCCACAATGTTGTTCAAGCAGCCTTTCTACAGCTGGTGAGAAAAGCAGGCCCTTGTTGAACACTGCAGCAGCTGCTCATCTCCTCCCCCAAGCTCTACAAACAGTGTGTGCATGCAGGAATCCAAGATGCCGCAAGGCAGCCAAAAGCATTTCCTGTGCCAGCTTGCTAATACTTAATGGACACTCAAAGGCACTTTAAACTCACAAAGGGAAAGTAGAAAAGGAGGCAGAAGCTGCACACTAGAAGTGTATTCATTGTAAATTGAAACTGCTTGAACAGATTGCCCTATTAGGTCAGGCTGCACTGTAGAAAGAGGCAGATTCTCCTACTGCTTCTATGTTACAGCTGGACACTTGTTCCAACTACTGCATTACTTTATACTATACTTGAGCTAGCAACATGCTGGGAGGTTGCCCTGGGCTGAGCCATGTAAGATAATTCTAGCCCTAGCTGAGAGCTAGAGGGCATGAACTTCATAAAACGTACTCCTTCAAGCAATCAGTTTTTCCACTTGTATCTGAATTCAAAATATTTCAGGCTTTGTTTCCCCTCATGTGTGACAGGAAGAGAATGCCTGGCTCATATTCCTATGTTTCAGTGGCTGATCTGGCTCAAGAGGAAAGGGCAGAGCCAAGAAGCCAGTGAAGGCTTTACTCCTGTGCTCCTGTTGCAAACCAGTGACAGATCTGATCCCATGCTGCTAAAGGCAGACACAAACCTCCAGCAGACTTCATGAAAGAGTCACAATCAATGCTCCCTCTAAGCTGTGGAGTCTTGTGAGCAAAAATTCTGCTTTGTGAACTGCTGGCTTTCAAGTTGTGAGCGAGCGATTTGGCTACTTCATAAATTAGTTTGCTCTGGAGCCCATCTTTCCTGAGCTAAGATAAGAATGTGTGAGCCGGAGGCTAAAAAACTGTGAGCTAGCTCGCACTAACTCCGCTTAGAGGGGACACTGGTCACAACTGGTGGTGGAAAGTGCTGACAAGTTGCAGCCAACTTATGGAGACCCTGGTATTCCTCTGTGGTCTCCCATCCAAATAATAACCAGGACCAACCCTGCTTAGCTTTCAAGATCTGACAAGGCTGAGCTCACCTGGGCAACCCAGGTCATGATTTTCTCTGCTGGGTGCTCTTTGGTTCTTTGAGGTACCCATTGTAGTAAAGCACAGACAGTAGTGAATCATACAAAAGGCTAGCCAGAGTCTTTGTGCAGAGGCATTGGGAGATTATAAGCAGGGGAAGGCTGGCTAGTCGGGTTAAAGTTGCCTTTTGTTTGAAAGTCCCTCCATTGGCTCAGTAGGGCCCACCGATCTTTAGCTGGAGGGTTCCTAAATCCAGAGGACCCTGATTTATGATCAAACTGGTACTGATGTTGGGGTTTTAAAAGGAAATGGTCCTCAGGAAGGAAAACAAAAAACACAGAAGGAGCCCAGATCAGGGTGTAAAAAATGTAGTAGATGACTGACACCCCCCCAAGAATTCATGCACTTGACTGGGGGGAAAGGGGATCACATTTGGCACAAATTAGCTTATACCTAACTTTTGTGGTGAGGAAAACAGTAATGTACCAACAATAAAGAGTTACAATTTAAGCACTATAATGTGACTAATTCTGTAAGGAAGGTTGTAGGTCTCTGTCCTTCAAGAGTTCCCAAATCTAAGAAAAATCTAGAGAAACGTTTGGATCATGATCTGAAAACTAACATGCCCTTCCGTCATCCTCAGCCTCCACAGCTCAATACATGTTGTCATCCCGCCTTCTCTCACATCCCAGTCCAGGCCTGTCAGCAGTCCTTTTGAAATTCACCTTGTGCCCTGGTGAAAGCTGCAACGACAAAATCAACACACACTGTGGAGAGAACGGATTGCTCAAGGTCAAATACCACTAAAGTGCTACTTAAAGGCATATGTCTCAAACATAATAAATGAGAAGGGGAGGCAAGGAGAGGGTCTGCCCCCCCCCAAGACCCCTGATCAGAGTTTCCTCCTGTGGCAGAGGCTCCCTCCGCAGCCCACCGCAGCACCCAGTTTCGGGGGCAGCACCCAGTTTCGGGGGCAACCCAGCACCCAGTTTCGGGGGCAACCCTGTTCAACTTTCCTTTATAGGCATGGAAGAAAGACTAGAAGTATAAAATAAGGATGCACGGAGGGGATCCAGCAAAAGAGGTACAGAAGTCTTGACTAACTTAAAGAAGAATGTAATAATGTTTAGATCAGGAATTAGAGGAAGTTGTACGGCGGTTTGGGCAAGAAAGGGAATAAGAGAACGAGGATAGAGAGTACTTATATGCTTTCAGTGTTTAATTTGATTCTTATAAAGAGGAGAATACGAAAAATGAAGTGTTAAGATATGCATAAAAATATCTGGAGATATATATATACACTTAATAAAATATCGATTAAAAAAGAAAAGAAAATCATGCGTGGAGATTAAACTGTAAATCTTTTAGTATGATCCACATATACTTATTGCTTATTGAAGCACTAAGGCTATGAAACAAATACACAAGTACAAAGAAACCTTCCTAAAGCAAGACCAGTAAATGGGCTGTATACAGTCCTTGAAAACACTGTAATCTTCTTTGCTGTTTCTTAGTTTCCAAACTTTCAGGTCTTCAGGAAGGCTGAGAAAACAGGCTGACATCTCTCGTCGGCCGAGAGAGTTTCGATTCTACTTCTTCTTCAGAGCCAATATATTCTTATGGAACTAATGTTGTTGTTGTTCAGTTGTACAGTCGAGTCCGACCCTTTGCGACCCCATGGACCAGATCACGTCAGGCCCTCCTGTCTTCCGCTGTCCTCTGAAGCTTGCTCAATTTCATGTTTGTTGCATCGATGACACTGTCTAACCATCTCATCCTTTGCCGTCCCCTTCTTCTTTGACCTTCAATCTTTCCCAGCATCAGGGTCTTCTCCAGTGAGTGCTCCCTTCTCATTTGGTGGCCAAAGTATTTGAGCTTCAGTTTCATTATCTGGCCTTCCAGGGAACAGTCAGGGTTGATTTCTTTTAGGATTGACTGATTTGATCTTCTTGCAGTCCAAGGGACTCTCAAGAGTCTCCTCCAGCACCATAGTTCAAAAGAATCTATTCTTCGGCACTCGGCCTTCCTTATAGTCCAACTCTCACAGCCATACATGACTACTGGGAATACCATTGCTTGGACCATGCGTATTTTTGTTGGCAGGGTGATGTCTCTACTTTTTATCATGCTGTTTAGGTTCGCCATCACTTTCCTCCCAAGGAGCAGGCGTCTTTTAATTTCATGGCTGCAGTCACAGTCTGCGGTGATTTGGGATCCCAGGAACGTGAAGTCTGTCACTACTTCCACGACTTCCCCTTCTATTTGCCAAGGAGTGATGGGGCCGGATGCCATGATCTTAGTTTTTTTGATGTTGAGCTTCAAGCCCACTTTTGCGCTCTCCTCTTTTACCCTGAGCAAGAGGCTCTTTAGGTCCTCTTCACTTTCTGCCATTAGAGTGGTATCGTCTGCATATCTGAGGTTGTTGATCTTTTCCCCAGCAATCTTAATTCCCGCTTGTGATTCATCCAGGCCAGCATTTCGCATGATGTACTCTGCATATATATTAAATAAGCAAGGCGACAATATACATCCTTGTCGTACTCCTTTTCCTATGCTGAACCAATCAGTTGTTCCATATCCGGTTCTAACTGTCGCTTCTTGGCCCTTATACAGGTTTCTCAAGAGACATGTGAGGTGGTCTGGTACTCCCATCTCTTTAAGGACCTGCCATAGTTTGTTGTGATCCACACAGTCAAAAGCTTTAGCATAGTCAATGAAGCAGAAGTAGATATTTTTCTGGTACTCTCTTGCTTTCTCCATAATCCAGCGAATGTTGGCAATTTGATCTCTAGTTCCTCTACCTCTTCGAAACCCAGCTTGTACTTCTGGTAGTTCTCTATCCACGTACTGTTGAAGCCTAGCTTGTAGGATCTTGAGCATGACCTTGCTAGCGTGTGATATGAGTGCAATTGTGCGATAGTTTGAACATTCCTTGGCATTGCCCTTCTTTGGGATTGGAATGTATACTGACCTTTTCCAATCCTGTGGCCACTGTTGCGTTTTCCAAATTTGCTGGCAAATGGAGTGCAGAACTTTAACAGCATCATCTTCTAAGACTTTGAATAGCTCAGCTGGAATACCATCACCTCCACTAGCTTTGTTGTTAGTAATGCTTTCTAAGGCCCATTTAACTTCACATTCCAGGATGTCTGGCTCGAGGTCAGTGATTATACCGTCGTGGTTGTCAAGGACATCGAGGTCTTTCTTGTATAGTTCTTCTGTGTATTCTTGCCATCTTTTCCTAATCTCTTCTGCTTCTGTTAGGTCCCTACCGTTTTTGTCCTTTATCATGGCCAGCTTTGCATGGAACGCTCCCTTGATTTCTCCAATTTTCTTGAAGAGATCTCTAGTCCTTCCCATTCTATTGTTTTCTTCTATTACTTTGCACTGTTCATTCAGGAAGGCCTCCTTATCTCTCCTTGCTGTTCTCTGGAAATCTGCGTTCAGTTGGGTAAATCTTTCCTTTTCGCCTTTGCCTTTCGCTTTCCTTCTTTCCTCTGCTATTTGTAAAGCCTCATCAGAAAGCCACTTTGCTTTCTTACATTTCTTTTTCTTTGGGATGGTGGTGATTGCTGCCTCCTGTACGATGTCACGAACCTCTGTCCATAGTTCTTCAGGCACTCTATCTATCAAATCCAGACCCTTGAATCTATTCTTCACCTCTACTGTATATTCATCAGGGATGCGATCTAGGTCAAACCTGAATGGCCTCGTGGTTTTCCCAATTTTCTTCAGTTTAAGTCTGAATTTTGCAATGAGTAGCTCATGATCTGAACCACAGTCAGCTCCAGGTCTTGTTTTTACTGACTGGATAGAGCTTCTCCATCTTTGACTGCAAATTATATAGTCAATCTGATTTCGGTGTTGCCCATCTGGTGATGTCCATGTGTAGAGTCGCCTCTTAGGTTGTTGGAAAAGGGTGTTCGCTATGACCAGTGTGTTCTCTTGACAAAACTCTGTTAACCTTTGCCCTGCTTCATTTTGCTTTCCAAGGCCAAACTTGTCTGTTATTCCAGTTACCTTTTGACTTCCTACTTTAGCATTCCAGTCCCCTATGATGATGAGGACATCATTTTTTGGTGTTAGTTCTAGGAGGTGTTGTAGGTCTTCATAGAACCGGTCCACTTCAGCCTCTTCTGCATCAGTGGTTGGGGCATAGACTTGGATTACTGTGATGTTGAATGGTTTGCCTTGGAATCGGACAGAAATCATTCTGTCATTTTTGAGATTGTATCCCAGTACTGCCTTTTGCACTCTCTTGTTGACTATAAAGGCCACACCATTTTTTCTACGAGATTCCTGGCCACAGTAGTAGATATAATGGTCTTCTGAGTTAAATTCGCCCATTCCTGTCCACTTTAGTTCACTGATTCCTAGGATATCGATGTTCAGTCTTGCCATCTCATTTTTGACCACGTCAAGCTTACCTTGATTCATAGATCTTACATTCCAGGTTCCTATGCAGTATTGTTCTTTGCAGCATCGGACTTTCCTTTCACCATCAGACACATCCACAACTGAGCGTCCTTTCGGCTTTGGCCCAGCCGCTTCACTCTTTCTGGGGTTACTTGTACTTGTCCTCTGCTCTTCCTCAGTAGCATATTGGACACCTTCCGACCTGAGGGGCTCATCTTCCGGCGTCATATCTTTTAGCCTTTTGATACTGTCCATGGGGTTTTCTTGGCAAAAATACTGGAGTGGGTTGCCATTTCCTTCTCCA